ATGTTGTATCTCCTCCTACTGTAGACGATACTATGGTGGGAGTGATCATCCAACAACTTCCAGAAAGGGGTTCTCCTTTGATGAGGGAAAGTTCTCTCCTCCATAAGAAGATTCTCACCTCTTCTTTCTCTCTCACACAACATTTCTGCAGTTGATTGATTTCAGTCTTCCCTTTTCTCATGCTTTCCTATTTTTTGTCTTTCTTCTTTCAAGGTGGTGATGGACAAGGAAGGGAAAATGGGGGAGCACGAAATAAAATGTGGCCGAAAACAGCAAGATGTAAAAAGGAAGAAGGAAGCCCGAGAATGGAAGCAGAAGGATATAACAGGAACCAGTGCCCCATCGACATCATGGAAATCAAAATCGAAGAGACAACAGATGAAAGCAGGGAGATTGGAAACAGCCCTGTCTATGAAAATGGCTTCTTCCAAGAGGCATCTAGTATATACCCCGCATACAATGAACAATACGAAATTGTGGACAAGCCATATAAATGCCTGGAGTGTGGGAAAGGCTTTCATAAAAAAAGAAACCTCCGTAGACACCGAAAGATCCACACAGGAGCGAAGCCATATAAATGCCTGGAGTGTGGGAAATGTTTCTTACATAGAAAAGGTCTCAGCAGACACAAAAGAACCCACACACAAGAGAAGCCATATAAATGCCTGGAGTGTGGAAAATGCTATACTCAAAAATATACTCTGAGTAGACACCAAAACACCCACAGGGATGAGAAACAACATACATGTTTGAAGTGCGGAAAAAGCTTTGTTTCAAATATAAATCTCATTAGGCATGAAATGAGTCACAGAGGAGAGAAGCCATATCAGTGCCTGGAGTGTGGGAAATGTTTCTTTCAGAAAGCACACCTCAACAGCCACAAAAGAACCCACACAGGAGAGAAGCCATACCAGTGCCTGGAGTGTGGAAAAGGTTTTTCTGATAAGAGCAATCTTGTTAGACATGAAATGAATCACAGAGTAGAGAAACCCTATAAATGTCTGGAATGCGGGAAGAGTTTCTTTTGGGAAAATGCCCTAAAGCTGCACCAATGCACCCACATAGAAGAGAAGCCATATAAATGCCCGGAGTGTGGAAAATGCTTCCCTCACAAAAGAGTCCTCAACAAACACCAAAAAACCCACACGGGAGACAAGCCATATAAATGCCTGGAATGTGGGAAAGGGTTCTATGAGAAAGGAAACCTCAAACGCCACAAAAGAACCCACACAGGAGAGAAGCCATATAAATGCCTGGAGTGTGGGAAAAGTTTTGCTGATAAGAGAAGTTTTGTTGGACATGAAATGAACCTCAGAGGAGAGAAACCCTATAAATGTCTGGAGTGTGGGAAGAGTTATAACTGTAAATATGGTCTTATAGCTCACCAGAACAGTCATAAAGAGAGTGGGGAGGGTTTTAGCTACAGATCGGATCTCGGATATGTCCAGGATAGTCCTATAGAAGACCGAACCAAAGACATGTCTGAAATGAGGGAAGAGCTTCCCTCATTTCAGAGCTACTCTTAAGGCTCAATTAAAAAACAACAACAAGGGAGATAAATTATAAAGCCTGGAATCTGGAGTTTGAACTGCAATCCTCAAAGATTGCCCAAATGTTCATACAAAGACAAATTCTACTGTTCTCGATCCCACCTTCCTCGCAAGCATGACTGGTGGGAACGAGAGACAGGACCTTCTCAGTGGTGGCTCCTCAGCTGCAGAACTCCCTCCCAAATGATATCAAATCTGCCCCCTCCCTCCTGGCTTTGGGGTCAAGCCTTCGAACAATAAATATAGCATTGGAATGTGGTTGACTTATGTGACTGGCAATGGACTGATCCTGGGTCATGATTAAACTGGCAATTTTAATATTTTTCTAAATTTTGATGTATTTATAATTGTTTAATTGTCACTTGGTGTTAATTGTTAGTACTTTGTTCGGCATCTAATGGTTGCCTTCTGTAAGCTGCCCTGAGCCCCCCCCCCCCCCGGGTGAGAAGGGCGGGGGAAATAATTTAAATAAGTAAATAAATAAGTAAATAAATAAATATCCACCCCTGCCTTTTTGGAAAGGTTGGTTGAATTGCACAAGCTTCACGGTGTACTAAAAATCCCAAATGAGAAAGAAGCCATGGAAATGCATATTAATGTTGTGTTAAAGCCTTCCATCAGAAGAAAAATCCCCTTGAGCATGAAATGAATCTCAGAGGAGAGAAGCCTCTAGAAGCATTCTCTCCTGACGTTTCGCCTACATCTGTGGCAAGCATCCTCAGAGGTTGTGAGGTCTGTTGGAAACTAGGAAAATTGGGGTTATATATTTGTGGAAGGTCCAGGGTGGGAGAAAGAACTCTTGCCTGTTGGAGCTGGGTGTGAATGTTTCAGTTGGCCACCTTGATTAGCATTTGCTTCCCAAAGGGCCCTCTTCCCAAGGGGGTGCCACCTTGCCTTTGCCTTGCCTTCCTGCGAGGAGCTTTTCCAGGGTCAGGGGCCAAGAGGGAGGGAGGGCTGGTCCCTTCAGGGCCCAAAATGGGCAAGCAAGGCCTGCCAGAAGACTTATTTACTTACTTAGGCGATCCTTCGTTCTCCGAGTAGAATTGTCTTCCAAGATTGGTGTCCTGGCAGTGGGTCCGCAGGTGACTGTGGAGCCCTATTCTTGACCTGCATCTTCTCCCGCAGTGAGGGCATTGGTTTCCAGGTGGAAGGCGGTCCCGGTCGGGGTTGGCTTGACGTGCCTTCCTCTTGGCACGTTTCTCTCTTTCGCCCTCCATTCGTGCCTCTTCAAATTCTGCAGCACTGCTGGTCACAGCTGACCTCCAGCTGAAGCGCTCAAGGGCCAGGGCTTCCCAGTTCTCAATGTCTATGGCAGAGTTTTTAAGGTTGGCTTTGAGCCCATCTTTAAATCTCTTTTCCTGTCCACCAACATTCCGTTTTCTGTTCTTGAGTTTGGAGTAGAGCAACTGCTTTGGGAGACGGTGGTCGGGCATCCGGACAACGTGGCTGGTCCAATGGAGTTGATAGCAGAGGAGCATCGCTTCAATGCTGGTGGTCTTTGCTTCTTCTAGCATGCTGACATTTGTCCGTTTGTCTTCCCATGAGATTTGCAGGATTTTCCAGAGGAAGCGCTGATGGAATTGTTCCAGGAGTTGCATGTGACATCTGTAGACAGTCCACATCTCACAGGGTTGGGAGGACAATAGCTTTATAAACAAGTACCTTGGTCTCCCTACGGATGTCCTGGTCCTCAAACACTCTCTGCTTCATTCGGAAAAAAGCTGCACTCGCAG